CCCCCTGACCGATGCACGCCCACCTCCCCGCCCTCCTCCTCCTCTGCCGCTCGTTTCCTCCGACTCTCCTGCAGGTCAGAGCCCCCCAGTCCGGCGGAGACGACCCGACGCAGCAGCAGAGCGACCGACAGAACCCGGGCCCGCTCGGGAACCTCGCCACCGCCGCCACCCCGCTTTCATCTGGAGGGAGATCTTCCTGTGGACCCATCAATGACTTCTTTGTTTGGTTTGTTGCAGAGTGCCCCCTCCTTCAGCCCCCTGGAAGCTGCCCCCGGTCTGCAGCCGCAGTAAGTCACCGCTCCTGCTCTTCTGCTTCTGTACGTCTTTGATTTTGTTTTCGTTGTTTTTAGAATAAATGCCACAGACGCACTTCTATACCCCGACTTCAGCGGTGGGAGTGGGGGGGGTGGAGGGTGACAGGCGGGACTCCTGCTTCCTGAGGAGATCCCGTAATTGAGGCGAATAGCTACCAGAACAGAGTGTCCTCTGTCTGCATGTCTTTCTGTCTTTTTTTAGTGGGGGGTTGGAGGTAGAAGTGAGGTGATACGGCTGCTTTGTGGGGATTTATTTTAAGACAGGACCCTGGATGTCACAGAGATGAGAGGTGGAGAGGAAGGGCAGCAACACAAAGATAAAAACCGTTATCCTCCCTCCTGAATGTGCAGAACTGCAGTTCTGTTTAACCGAATCGTACCCAGTTATTCGCCCAAGTTTATCTGTTAGCAAAATATCTCCTGAACCACATGATGGATTTTAACAAAACTGACAGGAAGGAATCTCCAGATGATCATCTACAGCTGATTAACTTTGAGAGTTAATTGGATTCAAGATGGCCGCCACAGCTGATCAAATTAAGAAAACATAAAAATGGCTCTAATTCGGTCAATTTTACAAATATCGAGCTGAAATTTGGTTTGTTAGTAGCTGAGACTGAGCCCCCTCGCATATTCAGAGCGCCACCAGATTCGCTGAGATCTCAGCTTAAAACCTTAGCATCAACTATTGTTGTTGACCCTGTTTGTCTGTTAGCAAAATATCTCCTGAAACACCTGATGGATTTTAACAAAGCTCTCAGGAAGGAATCTCCACATGATCTTCTACAACTGATTAACTTTTAAAGGTAACTGGATTCAAGCTGGCCACCACAGCTGATCAAACTAGAAAAACATAAAAATGGCTCTAATTCGGTCATTTTTACAAATATCGAGCTAAAATTTGGTGTGGTAGTAGCTGAGACTGAGCCCCCTCGCATGTTAAGAGTGCCACCAGATCAGCTGAGATCTCATCTAAAAACCTTAGCATCAGCCATTGTTGTCAACCCTGTTTGTTTGCTTGTTAGCAAAATATCTTTTCACCCACTGAGTTTAATTGAATGAAATTCCCACAAATTCATCATCGGTTGTACGACTGCAACTGATAAACATTTGGAGTCAATCCAATTCAAGATAACTGCTACAGCTAACCTGCATTAGCCAACACAGAAATGRCTACAACTTGGTTTGTGTAACAGATGATTGAGCTAAACTTTGGTGTGGTAGTAGCTGAGCGTCATGCTCGGTGCGTACGCTGACTGTGACGTCACGCGAGACAACATAAAATGATTTTAGTTCACAACTCGGTCACAAAATGTTTTGTTTTTCCGGCGTCTGTTTCTGAAAAGGTAATAAAATGTGAGGAATTCAGGGCCGGGGCACGGTGAGAGTCCAGTGAAAATAAACTTCTCCCCTCCGGTTCTGCTACAGTCATTATGTCATCAGTTATTCCACAGGCCGTCCCAAATCCAGCTTCCTGATACGCTCTTAATTTGAAAGGAAGGGATGCCTGATTAGAGAGGGGAGAAGTTAAAGCAGCCGCAGGGTTTCAGACCAAACCTCAACAGGTTTTCCTTTCAGGAGCGAGTGTGTTTACAGCAGGATGTTTTGTTTTTGTCGGGAACAAACAGAGGATTTACGACTTCTCTGCAGCGAATAAACTCTGGAGCTTCCTTTTTTAAGAAACAACAGATAAAACCGTTTAGCTGAACTGCAGGCAGTTGCTTCCTGCTCGTCTCACTCAGATGTCCGGCTGGTTTTGTTTTCAACTCAAAGCTTTGAGAGCGTTATTTTCAAACTGGTTGTCCTCTGCTGCAGACTTCCTGCAGAGTTTTATGGGAGTTCTTGGAGCAAAGTTCTGCCGTCAGAACCAGCCATGAAGGAGGTTTCAGTGAGAACAGTGAAGAATCCAAATATTGGTTTTATACGTTCCAATGTTTTCTGTTCCTAAAGACGTCCGTTTGCTCTTAAAGCGACATTTCATACAGTTTCAGCTTGGCTAAATGTAGTGTAATTCTAGCTAAATGCAGGAAACTGCTAGCTAAAATAGCAAAGTTCTAGTTCAAAGTAAGAAAGTGCTATCAACACCTGAAAGCAAAATGCTACCTAAAAGCTAAACAGTATCAAAAAGCTAGCTAAATTTAGCAGAACATTACCTTTTAATTAGAATTAACAACTTTTAGAATTAGCATTAGGATTAGTAGAACTAGCTATATTAGCAGTAATTAACACTAGTAAAATTAGCATTGGCAGGATTAGCAGTAGTAATGCTAACATTATTAGTAGTGGTATACTACTAGCAGTAGTAGTATGAGCTTTAGGATTAGTAGAATTATTTGTTGTAAAATTATCTGCAGCAGAATTAGCATCAGTAGCAGTAGCATAAGCTGATTTTGCATTAGAACTAGCATTGGTACTAGTAGCATTAGCAGAATTAACAGTAGTAGTTGCAGTAATAGAGTTAGCGTTACTAGAACTAGCATTGGTAGTATTAGCGGAATTAGCATTACAACTAGTGCTGGTAGTGATAGCATTATCAGAATTAGAGTTAGTAGAACTAGCATTGATAATAGTAGCATTAGCAGAATTAACATTAATAGAAGAAATATAATTGGTAGTTGTAGCAGTAACAGGATTATTATTAGTATAACTAGCATTAATAGTGATAGCATTGGCTGTAGTAGCATTAGCAGAATAAACAGTTGTAAAACTAGCATTATTTGTAGTAGCAGTAGCAGAGTTAGCATTAGCAGAACTAGCATTTGCATTAGCAGAATGCTATATAATTGTATTGTGAATCTGACAGCAGTAAAAATGTTACAAATTGTTGATCAGGTGAACCTCTGTGACATTTTACAGGTTGTTGTAAGATGACAGTAATTAAATTTAGCTTTAGCTGTGTTCGGATTAGCCATTAGCTCATCAGTTTGAATTCCAAACTGAGCTGAAACAGTTACCTACAACAGGTGAGATGTTAAGAACCTCAGTTCAGGCTGTCTGTGTGACCGCTTTAAATCTCTGCAGCCTCAGACTGTTTGTTATTAGCGTTAGCGTCACGCTCTGAGTGCAGCCCGGAGCCATCCAGGTGACACTCYATGTGGGAATGTTCAGGGAATATTTATAGAAATGTGTCCCGCTGGGCCCCGTGGAATGCTGGGATATCTGTTGTAGCTGGTGTCTTCTCCCTCCGAATTCTTCCCATCTCAACTTGGACCTTTCCTCACTCCAGCTGCTGCCTCCCACAAATATGTGAAGCTGAATAATTACCAAAAAACAGTCTGAATCAGAACCATGTGACGGCTCAGGCTGAGTGTCTCTGTTTATGATGGAAACCAGGAAACAAACTGAGTCTGACGGATCCAGCTTTATTTATTTATTCACTCATTTTCCTCAAGGTTTTATAATCAAACCTCACCTGTTGAGTTTGTGCTGTTTTAGCCGTTCACACATCAAAACATTCGGCTCATTCAAGAGACGGGTGCTCTGACTTCTGGGTTTTGTGACTTTAATACTTTTTAAAATATTTAGCTTAATTGACAAGTAGAAATATTTTCAGATCAGTTCCACTTAAAACGTTGTTCCTTCTGAAACCTTTAGCTACTGGCTCTATTTTGGCTGCTTTTAGCTAGGCTTTTGATACTTTTATCACCAGCTATCCACTTCCTCCATTTAGCTGCTAAATATCCTTTTGCTGCTTTTGGCTACCATTTGGAAACCTTTAGCTTTTACTTGCATTTTACTACTTTTACTTTTTGCTGGGAATTGGCTACTTTTAGCTTTTATTTAGCATTTAGCTACTTTTACCAAGCCGTTGTTTTTTAGGCAAGTATTCTGCAACTTTTGGCTTTTAGCTATCTTTTGTTATTTTAGCTTATAGCTAACCTTAAGCCTTTGCCACCTTTAGCTTTAAGCTAACCTTTTGATACATTTAGCTAGTCTTTTGTTCCTTTCAGTTTTCATTTGACATTTTGTGAATTTTAGCGACTGTTTTGCAGTTAGCTAGCTGTTGTTTTTGCTATCAACTTTAAGCTATGCTTTTGCCATTTTAGCTGGCTTTTGGTACATTTTGTTTTTAGCTATTATTTTGCTAGTGTTATCTTCTATCCAATTTTCTACTAGTAGCTTTTAGCTTTGTTTTTGCTGATTTGTGTATTTAGCTAGCCTCTTGCCACTTTTAGCTTTTATTTAGCATTTTGCTACATTTACGTAGCCTTTTGTTACTTTAACCTGCTCACTTTTAGCTAACTTTCACTGTCACCTTTTTTTAGCTCTCCCCTTTGCTTCCGTTTAAATAGATTTTTTTCTAATGTAGCATATAGCTGGTGTTACTTTTCGGAAGCATTGTGCTATGTTTGACTTTTAGCTTTTTCTGCTATTTTAGCTTTTATTAGCCCTTTTATATCGACTATGTCGTCTGTGTTTGTGCTTCAGCCCCTCGAGCAAATCTGGACTCAGCAAAGTGGAAACGGAGCGAGGATCCTCCATGAGCGAGCCTTCGGCTGCAGAATGTGACCGACATGTTTACAAGAGCGTCCTGGAGGGCGGAGACATTCCTCTACAAGGTCTACGAGCGCTAAACAAGCGTCACGGCAGCTCCTCCTCYTCCAAAGGTAAGATGGTTGCTGGAATGACACCTGGGCAGGTGTGCGTTGGGTTGTTCAAATGTCCGGACTCCAGTGTTCCTCTTTGCTGTTTTGTTCAGAGTTTCTTTGCGCACAGCATCAACCAATCACCTCACTGCATTCACACAAACCCCGCCCCCTCCGCAGCTTTTGATTTGATGTCGTGGATCTTTACTGTTCGCTGTGGAAAAGCGACAGGCTGGCAAAATTCAGCAAAACCGTCTCATAAATCACCAGTTTTAATAAAACTTTTATTTAAATAATAAAACCCAATTCAAGATGGCCGCCAGCAACAACAAAATATGCATTCCAGCAAGGAATGCTAGGCCTTTAGCTTCGTCTGCTAAAGCTAACACCAGGGTTTTCCCCCTCATTCTTATAGCAGGACTCCCGCAGGAGCAGGAAGCTGTGGGCCAAAGGCTGCAGCAGTCAGATAAACAGAACTCTGAGCTCTGAGGACGAGATAAACAAGAGGGACGCAGCAGAGAGGAGGAGGAGCAGGAGGAGGAGGAGGAGGAGGAAGTCAGCTGTCAGTGTGGGGTCAGGGCCTGGAATGTCTCTCTGTGTCCATGGTGAGACAGAAACAGACCGGGGGTGGACAGGAGGAGACGTGCAGGAAAAACAAAAACAACGACGCCTCAAAACACGAGTTTCAAACTGCCTGAACATTTTGATATATTCAGAATCATTTTAGCTGAATCTAAATGTTAAAAATAAATAAATAAATTCAACATAACAATCCTGGGAGGAATAGCAAAACACTATCTGAAAGCTAAAAGTAGWAAATAATTAGCTAAAATTTAATGTAGCAAAAAGCTAGCTAAACTGTAAATACGGCAAGATGCTATTTAAACGAAGCAAAACACTAGCTAGGAGCTAAAAGAAGCTAAAGGCTTGCTTCAGTAAAAAAATCAAAAGGCTAACAAAATACAAACTTAAAGCTAAATGTAGCATAAAACTGAATTAAGTAAAATGCTACCTTAAGATAGCAAAACAAGGGAAAGGCTGAAAGTAGCAAATGCCAGCTAAATGAAACAGAACAATAGCTAGGAGCTAAAAACATCTAAAGGCTAGCTTGAAGCTAAAAAAAATCTAAAGACTAGCTAAAGTCTTTTGATTTTAAGCTAAAAGGTCAATGCAGGTAAAGCTAATAGTAGCAGACTTGAAGCTAAAAAAGGGAGAATAAATCAAAAACATGCAGAAGTTAAAGCAGATTTCATTATGTTTGGAAGTAAACATCTAAAGAAAATATTTGTAAACAAAGTAAAAATAAATTTAAAGTTTAAATGTTAGAAAAAACAGAAGTCAAAGCACCAAATCAGCTAAAATAGCAGGAGGAGTTTCACAGGACAGAAAAACAACAACAGTACAAAAATAAACAAACACCATCATGTTTTCAGTTTTTCAGCTTCAGCGTTAAAATAAATGTTTTTAAAGAAATGAAGCTCCTTCAGGGTTTCAGAGGAACAGTTTAATATGTGTCCCGCCTGAAGCCATCAGTCACACATTCCACAGAGACACCTCAGAGCGAGGGGACGTCTCGTCCTCCCTCAGCACCATCTGTTGTCCCGTCAGCAGCGTCTCACTGTAGGTCCTCTCACTGTAGGTGTCCTCTCACTGTAGGTGTCCTCTCACTGTAGGTGTCCTCTCACTCTAGGTGTCCTCTCACTGTAGGTGTCCTCTCACTGTAGGTGTCCTCTCACTGTAGGTGTCCTCTCACTCTAGGTGTCCTCTCACTCTAGGTGTCCTCTCACTGTAGGTGTCCTCTCACTGTAGGTCCTCTCACTGTAGGTGTCCTCTCACTGTAGGTCCTTTCACTGTAGGTGTCCTCTCACTGTAGGTGTCCTCTCACTGTAGGTCCTCTCACTGTAGGTGTCCTCTCACTCTAGGTGTCCTCTCACTCTAGGTG